ACTTCATCATGGAAAGAAGGCAGAAACTTTGTGATCCCGTCCCACTTCATCTCAAGCTTTTGAAAAATTATCACGAAGGTACTTTAAGATGCATTCCTGTTACCGCCATTCAATCAAAACTTATTTCCTTTTCTTGTGAAGTGTCTGATAACGAGCAAATTAGATTGGCGTATGTAAATGTTTTGGCTTTGGAAATGTTGAGGTAATTTTTTAAAATGTGAAATTGTTTTATTAAAACTAATGCAGTGCAGGTTGCACTTTGCGTATGTACATCATCAAATTTCTGACAAGTTAGTTTATAACAAATTACTTAATGTAAAGCTCATTTTTCACAAGCTATGTAAATAAAATACTTAAGATGAAACAGAATGTAAATACAGAAAATTAAATCAGCTGAGATTCTGAGAGCTCTATTCACTGAAAATCTACCGGCGTGACTTCGTGCCGCTGCAGGGGCGTGAAGAAAGTGTCAGGCCATTAAACGGCATGACACAAAAGTCACGCCAAAAATCGGCGTGACTCAAAAATTCACGCCAATTTTTGGCGTGAATTTCTTGTCATGCCGCTTTTTGGCGTGACTTGCCTCAGAAAACGCGTTGTCAATCACGCCAAATGAGGGCGTGACTCACATGTCACGCCGTTTTTCGGCGTGAATTTCGTGTCACGCCAATTTTTAACGTGACTTTTTGTCACGCCATAATTTGGCCATGTGTCCGACCATTACGTTTTCAGTGTTTCTTCAATATTTTCCACCTTGTGGATTCGTCCCACTTCACGAATGTACTCCTGGGCTATCTTCTTAGCCTTCGCTTTCGTAGCTGTAAACAAATTATAAAATTGGTTGTATAAGGATCTATCTAGTGAAAGAGTCCAAATAATCCAACTCTGCTTACCTGCAAAACCAAGCACAGCAGCAGCCTCAGGTATGGAAGTGGGAGTTCTCTTCGACATCACTACATCTCCTGACTCCAGGTGCCGTCCCAAGTCAGTAGTACATACAAAGTACTCTAAATCTTCGAGATACACCGCATAAGCAAAGCCTTCCCTGTAAACATATAAACATCACATGAGCCCAATTTTCACCCGTTTATGTTCCACTTAGTGACAAAAGAGGTTAGCGACGCAGCAGGAGTACAAATACCACACTCCACAAACCAGGAGCACATGTCCAAAGCACATGTAGAGCGGCACAAGATGTTAAAATCAACTCACGTGGTCATGTTGAAAATGGATGGTGTGTCCGTCAGGGGAAACTAACAACTTGAAGAGGCGAGGGAGTTATGCGAGCTCAGAGCCGGCCAGACGGCCACGGGCCGCCCGGACCCCTCCCCTCCCCCGGCCTCCACCTCCTCCCCCTCACCTGAGGAAAGGGGGAGGGGAGGGGTAGGGCGACGTGGCCGAGCCCCTGCGAAGTGTCGGGTAGGCCAGCCCGCCCAGCAAGCGCACCTGCGTGGCTGCCTACCCTGGACGTCGCAGGCGCTCGGCCGCGGAGTCGAGGGACCGGACCGAGTACTAACGTACAGAAATAGGTAGAGTGTATGTAATTAGAAGCACATTTTGGAAGTGCAGCCTGAGAGTGTATTGGAAATGACAAGCTGAATTGCATGAGGAAACGCACATCAATGTGCACCCAGGACTCGATTCGAAATCTGTTGTAGTGAGTATTGTGCGTATTCTGTCGTAATGTAGCGGAGGTTGCACGGGTGATTGCAGCCAGCACTGTAATCGGCTACTTCGCTTGCAACTGTGGTTCAACTGTAGGCTAACTGCAGTTTGCGGACAGCATTCCTAACGCAGATTTGCTTGGTATATTTTCTACACACAAACTACAGCCGCAACTGCGGTTTCTACACTGCAGTTCGTCACTGTAGTCCAAACTTAGTACGGACTGCAGTCCTTTCCACCCGGGTATTGCACCTTAGGTGCAATGCTTCCCGAAAATGCCCTATGCTAATGCATGGGAATTGGGAGGCATTGCACTTCATGTGCAATGCTTTTGCATTGCACCAATTGACGCTATACTCATAGCGTTTGGATTCTCAGTGAATCCACGCCTGGCGTTTACACTTGCCCTGCCCGCGGCGCTGGCCTGCGCACATCGGCACTCAAAGAGAAGT